ATAGTAGTTCCTGAACTTATCGCTCAGCATAGCACTCAAAATTATGATATGATAATTGTACTATCATATTCTAATTATGATAATGGCAAATATGAAAATTGCATTCATGATAATTTGAGTAATATCAACATATTTGGTGATTATGATGGTTAAAAATCAATAACATTCATTGAATTATGGTTAGTGCGAATTTCTCAAGTTGATAACGCTTATCATACTGATAAGTGATAAACAATTGCAAACATCAAAAATGAATATGGTGTTGTGTTCGCAATAGCAGCACTGATAATTAATGATAAAGAAAACAATAAAAACATCATTAACCGTCAAAAACACTAAAAAGAAAATCATTTCAAATTTTCGATCAAATCAACCTAGAACGCCGATCAAATTCACTGTATGAAGAGCTGTGATNCGTAAAACACACCTATGTTTATAGCAATTTGCACCAATAATAGGCCTGCGTTCCTGTTGCTGTTGCCAATAGGAAGTGAACGGTGAGGACGGTGGAAGTGAGCGAAACGGATCGTTCGAGGGCGCCTCGTCGTAGTAGAACGGTGTGTAACGATTGGACGCCACTGAAAGCATGATGACTAAGGTTACTCAGGCGATTCACATTGAAACGATTGGCTAAATCACAACGATGATCAATCACTATGACAATTTTGACAATTAAAACAATGCACACTTTGTTTTACCTGGATTACCGATCCAGGTAATCCAGGTAAAACAATGCACACATTTCCTGAACTTATTACCGCCGATGGACGTAAAGAGAGTTACTTTTGTTTGCCGAAATGATTCAGTGATCGCAATAACAATAGGATGACATTGATGATTTTCATCGAAACATTAAGAAATAATGCATTTGCTAAGTGCTAAACGAAACTGTGAAATAGCGAAGTGNACCTCCCAGTGTTCTTCTTTCTACCAATAAAGATTTGGCTGCTATGTTTGAAGGTGCCGAATAATCCATGCTTAGAAAGGATAACCTCATTGAGATGCAACACAGACAGTCTGAGGCTGAGAAGATTTTGAGTCTGGTGAAATGGTGAAACTATTCGACGAGTCTCTACTGGATACCTTTTAATTTGCGGTAATCTCGATAAAATCTGTTTGCGTTAGATATGATAAGAGTGAGAATATACGAGGATGATAAGGTGATAGAGAATGATTTATGAGTTGTATGGCGATTAAAAGCCAAACTATCAACCGATCAAAACAACACAAATTCAACATATCACCACTGATGAAAAGGCAAACTAATCGAATGCAATTCGATCAGTCAACTAAGGAGGCATTTGTTTTGAGAGGAATTAAACGAAGAATTGCTGCTGGTGTTGGCGGTGGCGTTGGTGGTGTTAGCTAAGAGATGGCAAGCATGAAGCGAATTAAGCGATGGTGATGACGCAAAAGAGACTAGAACTGGATAAAGTCAAGCAAAATTTTAAAATAAGCATTGATTAATGATTAATGAGTAGTGTTTAATGAAGTTGGGTAATTTATGGCACTTCTTCAGTGCTCTTATTCAGTCACTCGTATCTGTTTTAGACTCGAATGACGTACGTACGAACGTACGTAATTGCTAGGATGCTCATTGAATTGCATTTATTCTCACTCATTTATGTATTCGCTTGTTTGTTTTTTGTGTTTCAAATTGTGTTTTAAATGTGTGATTGAGATTGGTTTCGTTTGAGATCGTATTTATATGCACGTGCTAGAATGAGCGATCCTTTTCGTATGGGATTATTTCTTCGATTTTTTAGTTTGGTTGATTTGAGAAGGATATTATGATCATATGAGTTGATATAAGTAAACCAAACAAGGAATGAATAAAGCAATAGAAGATTTACGTACGGCATGAAGGTGTAATCAGATCTACCAGTATAGTTAAGAAGGCTCGAGTTCAGATGGAATGAGTGTTCGAAAGAAAGATCTATCAGATAATTTGATTTGCAGATTTAGAATCCACTTGAAGAGAACATTGCCCAATGCTTTTCATGGAACTGTCATGCTGGCGTTTAAAACAAATATATTCCAGTGGAATCAGTGATACTCAAATCATAGGGTAAGGCGCATTAGCGATTATTGTAATGAGCGGTGTAAACAGAGTAGCAGAATTAGTAATTGAGGAAGCATGAGCATAAGATCATGATTCATGAAAAATATGCTTTGGACGAACAAATCAATGAGTTACGATTATGATCAACAGATCAATTGACATGCAGCAAAGTGAAAGTTACGTTATGCTGAATGAGCTCGAAGGTATTGACGAAAATAATCTCTCTCAGTTATAATGTTTTTGTCGTCCCATTTTTCAAGCATTCCACCACAAGCGAAATAGGCGTGAAAGTTAAAATTTTGAAGAAATCTTAACAATATGTAATGAGAAGTTTTGGATTCGAAGAGAACCTCACCTATGGCGTTATACTCTCTGAAAGGTTAGCTCGAAACCGTAACACACTTCATTTAGTGCAGCTCTAATGGATATTTCAAATAAGCTGAACGCACTTAACGCACTGTTTATAAATGATAGAGATTTATGAGCCTAATTGAAGCATTATGCACTACCAAATTATCTTGCTGAACATTTTGACAGTAACTTTGTTTTTTTTGTTGTAGCAAAATATTATGTGTTTGGCTGGGAACGCGATAGATTTTCACACAATCGCAAAAAATTTTAACGACCTCAACTTAGCAAATTAATACGTTCAGATTGACATGCCACATTAAATTTCTTCACATTAATAGTTTAACGTTTAGCGTTTTGTCGAGATGATATTTCGAACTTTTAAACGATAAAATGGATCATCTGCACTAGCTCGTGCACTGAAAAAACGAACTAGCCATTTCTCATGGCAATAATTGGGGCCGTATTTCATTGAGTTTACGTTCGTATTGTGCGAACGAATCACCTTCCAGAAATTATGGCGTCCAGGAGTCGGCGATGATCAGATGTCTAATAAAATCCGATTACGATCGAATGATGACTGGATAGGCTCAACTACCTTAACAATAAACCAAACAATCCATTGAGATTGTTGAGCTGGGTCCGGAGAACATTCTCCAACATTTTTTGTGCAGATCATTTAATCGATTGATCGTAAAGATAGAAAAGCAAGCAAGTTGATAAAAATTTTTTGACGAACGTAAGTTTATTCCGAGAACAGAAAACAACTCATATAACATCATAAAATTAGTCACGTATCACTTACTACTACTACTGAGGTTCATACGTGCACTATTGACCTCTTCGCAACAGCCGTGTGTAAGTGTGTGCTAGCTGTAAGAACTGACTGAAGCAATGAGGATAAGGATGTTGGTTAATGTAATGGATTTGTTGGCATGATGGATAAGACACAGTCAACGAAGACGAGATGACAGCATTTTGAGGGTGGTTTTCAAAGCTTTTGGATATAAATATCATCACTTTAGTGCAGTGTATCTCTTTACTGATCTCATCACGAACTTTTTTCCAACTCGTTTCGTTGTGATTTATTTGTAGTCGTTCTACGAGCCTAATTGAATCAGCGAAAACGCTGTTATCGTCATATCCTTTTTAACTAGCTCATTCATTAGTTTCTTACGTCAGTCATCAGTGTATATACTCGAAATTGAATATTTTCGAGGACCTCAAACCATACTCAAGCCGGAATAATGCGTTACAAATGACGATTTCAACCGAATGAGCAATTGTGATGACGCACGTGATGAGACTAACCTCATTTACAAGCCAAATGATACGTAGTTGAAAAATTGGAGTTCAAGCTTCATCGATGAAAGTTTCAGCGAATAGAATGAAACCAGTGCGGAGGGCGAAGTCGAACTCATTTTTCAACGTGAACAACGCAAAAATTGAACTTGAACTAAATTTCCAGAACCAG